CTCATCTAAGTTTGTATAGTATTATCTATCAACTCTCTCTCTCCCTCTCTCTCTCTCTCCCTCCTCTTTGTAATCTTTTCTATTCTATCTCCATCATCGCGCAAATGTACATTCCCAGAAAGCTTTCTCAAGCAGACCAGCTCATATCCAAACAACTCAGCATAGCCCACTTTCTTTTTCTTCAGAACTTCTACACAAATAAGACCCTAATCTTCTAGATTTGATTTGATTACTGAATCATACATAACTCAGATTAGATTAGCTTTGCCCTCCAAAACCGAGTGCTTGTTTTATTATCTTTACACATAGAACACCTCTTAAATATCTAAATATTAGGTTGATTTATTATCAATATCCACCACCTCGTGCTCTTGGTCCACTTCTTGCTCGAATCTCTTCCAACTTTCATCAGCTTACTCTTGGGCTTCTTGAACATTTATCATCTATTTATATACATGTCGGAGTAAGTCGATGTGTATGTGACATATCTTGCACCGGGAGATCACTCTGCCTCACCAACTATCGCTTAGAAAGTAACCTTCAGAGCGGAAAGGATATATTGCTCAAGGATTCTTATTACCAAATTCCGCACTACATATTCTTCCTCCTTGCCCCCCCCTCTATTCCCCCGACTTGCCCTATCTTGTACAATTTTCTGATTTGTGTTTTTGGTTTCGATTGATATTAGAGCACTCGACAGAAGCAGCTTACTTGGTTGTCAGTCGCGAGACTCGCGTAGTGGATCGGTAAGCTCGGAGCCGAACAGCAACTGGCAAGTTTCACAAGCATTCGATCTTCCGACAGATTCCTTCGAGCTCCTCCGCTGGGGCGAGGACTGCCGTTGGGAGATCCCCAAGTTCGGGGATGAGCGGGGACACGAGCGTAGTCGATCGGAGGGAGATATCGTCCCAGGCTCGCGCTTCCAACCGGCTGTCGAGTCATTAGAACCGACCTTCGATCTCAACGGAACCGTTGTAGGTGAATACCCTACTGGGAACCAAGCCGAGATGACAGACTCGCGAAGGAAGAACTTGTCGTCCAGGGGATGGCCGGCTGAGGACCGGGATGGCGAAGATGAGAACGCTCCGTTCGATCCAACCCGCTCCAAGTTCGTCTTGCAGGCCCTCCCAACGAATGACCACAACAAGGTCGATGGTCTCCAGCCCATCTGCTCAATGACCACCGAAGGCCCAGTGATGGCCTCATTCGCACTCCCACCGGACAATCAACATGATGCCATCATGCTTCCTCGTGATACTTCCAGGTGTCAGACATCCGACAACCAACCACTCAGCACGACGAGGGCGAATGGGTTCAAGATCAACTCGAGTAACATTGGAACTCTCAAGACCAAAAAGACTCCAAATCGGAGCCCAAGAACCGGTAACAATGGCGGCAGATGTCGTAGATTGGCTCCCGCTAATCGAGAGTGTCCTCATTGTGGGGCTAAATTCACAAGGAACGATCGACTGAATTGTTAGTGTTTCTTCCATGCATCCTCTCTTTATTAATCGACAACGAAAGAGACGAGAAAGGAAGCATTGTTTAACAAGGGTCTTTTTGTAGATCATATCGATAGTATCCATGAACATAAAGAGCCCAAATTCAAGTGCGAAGTCGCCAACTGCTCGAGAGCTTTCCGACAACGCTCCGATCTCGTCCGTCATTCACGACACGTCCATCACAAGCCTTGATCGATCCTCCTCTCATCTCAGCCTTTTTTCACACTTATATCATCTATAACATTCTTAAAATAACCCCCCCCCTACACTCCCCCAAAAAAATTTACATATAACAAAAAAAAAGAAATTTGTGGATAAATATTAATATGTTATATACACTCATCGACGATTTATTTATTGAGATATTTTTTCGATTCTTGGTTTTTATTATATGTAACTGTTCGAGATCGATTCTTTGATTCCTTTATAAAATATATAAGTTGTGACGATGTCCTCATCAATAGTTTAACCCAACCCTCAGATTATTATCATGATTATTTCTAGTTTCTTAGATATTACTATTAGTTTTGATGATCTCCATCAAGAAGATCCTCACCTTCTCTTATCCTTCTCTTTATCGACTACATAAACTCGACTTAACTTACTAGTACATCCACACCTTGTAAAATCATTCAATCGCTTTATACTCTTGGTCGGTTATATATCTCTTTCTATTCATCAAAAAGCTTGATTCAGTTTCGTTTATCAAATTAGCTTGCTTTATCTTTTCACTTCATAAACGTTTTTAGTCTACCAGAAAAAAAAGAAGAAGAAAAAAAACCCTTGATGACTTTCTTATCATTCCTACCTCATAGCTTCTCTTTGGTTCGTTTTTGTTCCTCCCTTTGTTCTTCTTTTTTTCTTTTAAAAGAATACATTATTATATAATTTATTATCCATTAGTCGGTCAGGTTTTAGTTTTAGTTGATTTGTTGAAGGAACACGAAAAAGAGTTTTGTTATCATTATACATATATACATACACTATTATATCATCTTAAACCTTTATCATCACTATCTGTTATTCTGGTTATCCGTTATCATTATTATTATTACCGTCATCATTATCAGAGAAAAGTTATCACGGACTCTTTTTTTTTTATCTTTTGATTGATGTAATTCTAACATACTACATATGTGAAAGAGTTTTATGCTTGAGTCAATTGAAAGAGTTCATGAGAGATTTCTTTGTTTTGATTTGTTTTGTGGATATCTTTTATCATGATCTTGTTCATCGAATCAATATTTAAGACAGAAACCGAAGTGAAACCGATTTTAGTTCTTGTATCAACCATTGCTTGATTTCCATCAAGTAATTGTTGGTCCGTTTGAGCAAAGCAAAGAGATGACCGATGTAACTATAGTTATACCAGCTGCTGGTCCTTGATGGCCCTTCGACAAGATTGAGGGAATCGTGTGTTTTTCTCGTTCTATCTTGCAGAAATATTGTGTGTGCTTCCCTGGCGCTCAGAAGCAACAAATGTTTTGAAGAGCGCTGAGATTTTCTCATCATGATCATTACCCGGGTAGTTTGGGTATGGCCCAGAAGTTATAGCCAGCTGGGATCGGGAGTTGTACCGGGTGCAGATACATAGTTGTGATGGTCCCGCTGGCTTGAGGAGTCTAGGCCTCCTCTCCCATCACGTATCAACTGCGAGGAACTGTCTGTTGACCATCGCTCGAGGGAAAAACTTGACTTCAGACCATGGCTTCGACGAGCTCAACGTTAGCTTCAATGGCCCTTCGGAACTGGCTCATTCGACAGCATCAAGCCTTCACCAAGGACTTTGCAACGGGTAGTTTGGCCAATTGGGTGGTATGCGTTGGTAATGAAGCTGGCGGTATGTAGCATCTTTTTATTTAACCCTCTCGGCTTGGATTGATTGGTTGACTAACGGCCTACTGTTATCGAGCATTCATAGATCTTGATACGCTCGCATCGTCTATCGGGTTCTCTTTCTTCGCCACGCTTGCTAGTCAGGCGAACGCAAGTAACCAGCTGGCTCGCAATTACGTACCCGTCCAACAAACCAAGTCCACCGACTTCAACCTCAGGGCCGAGAACATTGAAGTGCTCAAGCTGGCCAACCTCTTGGCCGATGATCAGCAGGTCGATGATCTCCCGATGCCAGAGTTGATATGTTCCGATCAAATCGATTTCACCAAGTTCACTGCGTACGGTGCCCAATATGCCTTGGTCGATCACAACCGGATCAACTCATCCGTCTTTGGCGAGTCGGCCGAAGTGGTGGCCGTGATTGACCACCATCAGCCTGAGGCAGAAGATACGCTCTATCGGTCGGCCAATCCGCGTCTGATTCAAGTGCCGACGGGCAGCTGCGCCTCGTTGGTGACCAACCATTTCTCGTCAGATCTTTCGGAGACTTCGATCCCTCCGGAGATCGCGGACTTACTGCTCAGTGCGATCGCCATCGATACCGGCAACTTCAAATCGATCGCCGAGGATGGTAAAGCCACGGAGGCCGACATGAGTGCAAAGCAATGGCTCAAGCCGCGCTCCCGCTTTGCTCAGAAGACTGCCACTTCCTCGGTAAGTCTGTCGAGCCCTGGGCCTATCACTAGCACTGGCTTTAAAGAGTTCTACAAACTACTCTCGAAGATCCAGAAGGATGTCTCGAGTCTCAGCTCGGCTCAACTCCTTCGACGTGATTACAAGCAGTCCGAAATCAACGGCTGGTCGCTCGGGATCAGTTCGGCACCGACCCCTCTCGAAGTCTGGGTATCGGAGAAGTGTGAGGGAGATTGGAGCAGGTTCTTGGATGGGTTGAAGGAGCATGTCGAGAGCAAGAAGCTCGACCTGGGGAGCGTCTTGACCAGTCCATTCAAGCCCAAAACCCATGCTCCTCCGGGCTCAGTCGATCCTCCCCAACCTGGCCGAAGACTCGTCCTCCTAGCGACCGGTGCACAGAGGGATCAAGTCTCGACTTTGGTCAACCAAGAGCGGCAAACCCTTATGGTTGAACAATCCCTCCAACTCTCGCCCTTCATGAGCATCAATGATCCGACTCTCATCGATTCTTGGGCCGCCCAGAATCAGGCGGCGGTGTTCATCTTCATCGTCCAAAATCCTTCCGCTACCCGCAAACAGGTCACACCCGTCCTGCTCAAATTGGTCGAAAAGCTCGGCCCCAAAACCATCCTCTGATTCTCCTCCCCCTAATTACTGCTACGTGTTTACCTGTTGTAACCTATCTTACCCTGCTTTTCATCGCTCGTATTCATTAAGCAGACTTTTTACTATATCTTATTATATGCATGGATTTATCATACAAATCGATTGTGTAGAAATATGAGCATTGGATTGGACCTCAATTGCGTGGTGACATCCCCGAGAGTTTGGGTTGGCGCTGATGGCACACGATGGAGCTGCTTGATGTGGTTGGGTATGCGTAGATGAATGGCCAGGAACATGGAAGCTCTGTCCATGTGTGTAAATATGTACCTCAAGATTTCCCTTCTAAAATGCCGCACCTTTCTATTTTATGTAGACGTTGCCCTGGAAGTTTCGAAAATACATATTCTAATGAGCCCCGGCTCCATCCTGCTTCATCCTTCACGAAGCCCCTCTCTGTATTCGGAAGGGCTTCATTAAGTTAGGGAAATCATTCTCAACTGAACACAAGGGGAAGGATTCTCGGTCCCATTCTTCCAGCCGACTGGAGCCGAGCTACATATGCCGAGCTCCGTTTGAAGCAGAAATCGTACGATGCGGCATTGTTTCGCTAGCTTGTGCATCCATGGTCAGAGAAGATCAGCAACAAAAACGAAACGCGTCGGTGTTGAGAGAAAAAAGCTAGTTGAAACGTGAGCTCGCGACGATGAGCCATTATGCACTGGAACGAGGGAAGTATGTCGTAGTAGCAGAACCACACTAATGAATTCCCACATTGTGAGTGGTCCGTTAATGAAACAGTCACTAGACAAGGAGAAAAACACTCAAGTATCGTGTATGTTGTATGTGATGAATCGACGCTTCTCGGTCCAATTTCGAAATTTGCACGGACTCGGCAAAGCTCAAGATGGTCGTGCTGGCCATCCCTCTGCGATACTATCCCATTTTCATCTGGGCTTTGGCAAGAGTTTCGGGCACGATTCTACCCGAGCTGAGGTCGAGTTGGTGGGAGGAGGACGGGCACGAAGACGAGATATGGGTTCCGGCACATGAGCTCTTGAAGGCGTATGCGACATACTATCCGGCCGAAAGAATCCTCAATGCCCATCCAACTCGATGGAAATCTTCGTATTCTCGGATGCTCTCCTTGTTAGGACTGGATCCCGCTTTGCATCCAAGTCGATCATCAGCTTGTCCCACTCCGACGGCGAATGTCTTGCGGCAGGAGATGATGACAATCGCCTCAGCTGCACCCGAACATATCGACATCCAAATCCCATGGAAATCTGCTACCCTGCCAGCTTCGAGTCGACCATCTACCTCGATCAGAAAAGCTCCTTCTAATAATAGTCGCGGTTGGTCGAGATGAGATTTTACTCCGCTAAATATCATCAAAAATCAAATGCTAACCTACATCTTGTTGACCCCCGAGTTTTGCAGCTCGCAAAAAGCAATCAAAGCAGCTTCACTTGTTGGACCCTGGAATTTCGATGGCCGCTGAAAACATGAAACTTGGTCAAAGCCTCCTCATCCCACATCAAGGTTAGTCGATTTTAACTAGATACATTCAAGAACATTCTTCCGCTTGAGTAGGAAGTCGCTCACCAATTGATTGCTAGCGGAGCTCACAGTCCTCACGCCGAGTCAACGTGAACCGATACACGATCAAGACATGGATTCCGACAAACCCAGCCAACCAAATGATCTCTATGTTGGCCCAAGGGGCACGATCTTAATCGTCTTTCTGAAAGACGCCCAAGAACACTTTCAAAAGACATTGTATTCCAAACATGTCCGATGTAATTCCTCCAAATTGTTCACGCAACATCCTCACTCCCGATGGCCCATCAACGTCTATGCCTCCCTCTTCACGCCCAAAAAATTCATTCACGTCAAACGCACTTCTACCAGGGAAAACCAGAGCCTTTTAGCTTGGCATTCACTCTATAAAGCTTTGATAGCATGGATGTACGAGCTGCATGAAGAAATCTTGCATCGCTTCAACTTGCCGACGTTTGTATACAGGTTGCAGCAAGGAAAAATGATCACTTGGCTAGAACAACAGATCTTTTCGCCCCCCACCAGTCTTCCGATCATTGGCACGCTCGAGTCGCCGATCTTTTTTGATTGGGATCAATATCAATTGGGCTCTATTCAGATCGAATTGATAAACTACTTCGCCCAAGACGAAGACAAGAATCTCCTCGTGCGCAAAACTTCCTTGAGTCTACTCCAACAATTCCTTGAAGAGCATCGAGGTGAGTCTCATTCTGCTAGTGATAAGCTGGATTTTATTGAGTTGCTTATAGCGGGCTTATAAAATCCATCCATTCCGAACATGTTTCAAAAACTCCTGATCAGCTGATTATGTAGCCTCCAATTACCCCTTGGAAACTCCGATTCGGTTATCTACGTACCCAGAGTTTGAGCCGATCCGAAGCTTCCTATCAGGCACATTGGAAGAGATGCCCACAAGCAGCATTTCCCATGGGATCAAGGGCAAAGTTTTAGTATCATGCCAAAGCCGATTTGAAAGTTGTTATAATGAAATATGGATGAGAAAACTGCAACTGAAGAGCATCCATCCCAAGTTACCGATCGCAATTTACTTCGTCAGCAGGAACTCAGATAGTCAAATCCTGCGAGTCTTGAACCGCCAAGATAGGAAGTTGATCCAAGGTAGAAGATTGGATCAGGCCTTTAAAAGGTTGACCAAGGCAATGGATTTCCTCCACTTCTATCTGCTGAAGATCTTGAAGAAACAAGGCGTGGAATTCGATAAAAGGAATGAAGAATTACTCGAGTGGCTGCTCCAAAGTATCAACAGACCCACCGGAAGTCTGTGCGTTATTGGGCCTTCAAGGTGCAAGGGAAATAGGGCCCCATGGGAAGAAATTATTGACACAAAGAATGTGAACTTGTTTGGACCGGTTCAACTAGAACTGATCGAATACTTTTCGGAACCTTATCCCAATCCCAACCTCCCTAACTCAGTATCATATATCATTGCGGCTTATTATAAAGAACATCATCCAATTGAGTTCCAATCCTTGGTTGACAGTATCACTCTTTCTAATCAGTTCATGCCCTCCAAAATCGTTGATCAAGCGTCGCAATTTCAGAAGAAAATGAAAACCAAAAAAAGGAAAACCAGGAAAACTAGTCTCCTGAAGGAGTTGGAAAGTTATAAATAGAAGTTTTTATTTCTACTTTTTGCTTGAATAGTAATTAAATGTGAACCATCATCACTATTATACCCTTTTTTTAAAATTATGTGTTTCATAGGAAAAAAAAAATCTACAATGATCAAAACTTCTCACCTTCCATGCAGTGTTCAATTTGGTCGGACTCAGACTGGGACAAAGTTATTGTTGACAATTGTGTGCAAGGATCAAATGAGAACAAGAGCTAAGCCAAGACAATATATCGGCAGAGGTAGTCAATGATTTTAAGGGAGCATTAAGGAAAGATCCAAGAAAATCTGTGGAGTTTTGATTGTAGTCCAAATCATGTGATTCTCATTGGGTGAATGCACCATCTAGGTTCGGGTTCAGGCCAGAGGATAAGGCCAAGAAGCCCCTGCCAATACTCTGGCTACCCGGTCCAAAATCAACAAAATCAAAAATGATCTCTGGAATGTACTCAGCAAGAAGATAAAATTCAGCTTGGCACATCACATCATTGAGCTGCTTGAAGAGCATCCCCACAGCTGATGAATCATGAACCAGACTTAGTCTGGTCCAGAAAGTGAGATTGTGGAAAGGATGAGGAAAGGAGTCCTTCCATCCACTCCACTTCTGGCCCAGGTATACTACAATCTCTGTGACATGTGAGTGAAAGGTATGTAGCAGACTAATTGAACAGACAAGAGAGACATGAAATGACAACTCAACAGCAGCAGTCCCTGAATCGAGTCTGTATGTACACACACCCCATGCAGAATTGCAAGTAGTGAAAGCCGCCCATGATGTCGTTCTGCCATCCTGGGCCAGGCCGGAACCTGCACTCATACATTGTGAGTTAGATGTGTTATCGATGGTGAGTGAAGCAATGTCAAGCAAATCAGTCAACTCTGCATTCACCCATGCTCCTTGGTGCACACAAAATGCTATGGTTTAGTAGACAGTATAGCGCATTAAGAACAGTTTTAGACCAAAATTAGTGCTTTGGTAGGGCCTTTCACTATGATTTCTTGGACAGTACGGCTTAACAAGGGGATCACTTACAGCAGAGGGGAGTGTCTTCACATCAGATGGGTGATATTATAAAGTACAATGATGTGGGGCCCTAGCAAGTCCCTATACACTTGTTCCTGATCTTTAGGGATAGTATGACTAGTCACCACCGTGAGATCTGTTTTTTTTTGGGGGGGGGGAGTAATTGGGCCCATAGATCACAGATAGGGACCTGATTTAGACACCTCAGTGGACTTACTCTTAGCTTGTGCTACAAGATTCTTAGGTTGCTCAAGATTATCTTTGAATCACAGGCTCCATTTTGGTCATGGTGTTAGCTTGTGATAACCCTTACACCACACTTTTGAGCTCCTTTTGGCCACAGGATTTCCTTTTTGGGAGTTTTGTTTTGGTTGACTTTCACACCCTCATACCAAAAAAAAAACATCTTGTAAGATCAAGTAAGCATATTAAACATATAAACATGTATGGGTATCCACTCATACTATGCCTTTCTAGTACCATAGCTACACACTTGTTGTTGGAATTTTGTCATCTCTTCTTTTCCTCTTCTCCTTTTCTTACTCATGCCTCAATTCCTTACCAAAACTGATCACTCTGGATCCACACTTTCATCATCTTGAACTCTCTTCCATTATAGTCTGAGCTATCATTTTTGTTATGAAATCTGACCCCATGCTTGTAGTCTTAGAACCCTGTTATATATAGGTGTGCTTATTTTCTCTCAGATTCACATCACCATTTGGAGTGTTTTTGAGGCCCCTGTTAGTTCTTAATTGATACTCTAATCAAAACAACTACAGCCAGCTCACATGACAGCCATTACAACAAGGCTTGTGATTTTTTGCCAAAGGTTAAGAATGGAGTGGTGTAAATCAAATTCTGCAAGGGTTCTAGATCCCAACAGGAAGGGAACTTCCCAGGAAGTCATCCACTGATGTACACCCCTTTTTTCACAATAGTTGTCCTGAATATATCCACACCAAAAAACATACTGTGATGAGTTTTGAATTTGTATCAATTGCCTAGTACTACAACATAGTAGCCCAGTTTGTGGGTCTGTAGAAGCATACAACCTTACTGTAGGAAAAGAGTATACTATCTCAACACTTGTTATTTGAAGGGCTAGCACCACAGCCACCAATTTTCCATCAATTTCCAACTTGGAAACTGCATCCAACAGAAATGATGTACCATAAATCCTCCTTGATTTCTTGGTGCAAAACCCAAGTTGAATTTTGGTTTGTGAAATAAATAATGTTCAAAATGGAATTTGAAAATTTGTCCTGGTGCTTTGGTACAGGACCTAAGTCAAGGAATTTGAACCATAGTGCACCAGAGTGTTCCTCCTATTCACTGGAGGTTTTGAGCCTGCTTACCTTTTGGCTTGAGCTTATAATCAGTTCAACCAAACTCAATTTCTTTGACCTCTACTTTCAGCAGGATGTATCACATATGATACTGCTGTATCTTGAAGAAATGAGGCCAAAATCCTCAATTCCCTCAGGCTTGGGTAAGGCTTTGGGCTTTCATGGGCTACTCGAGAAGTGTCCCTCCTCCGAATACAAGGGACTTGATTCAGTTATAACTTGTACGTGACCAGAGGATCAATCCATCCTCCAGTCCCAAGCTGCCCCATCCCAACCCAGACCCGTAGGCCGCCCCGACATCAGTAAGTTTATGTTTCAAAATTCCTCAGCTCATGTTTCAATCAGGTCTTCTCAACATCACCACCAGCTTCTTGATCTTCTCTTTAAAGTATGCAGAACAAGCACTGGTATCAAATGAAGAGTACGTAGGTCCCAGTTGGCAGTAGCAAGTTACAGACATCAATTGATGGATCTTCAAGCGCAGATCATAATTTGTAAAATAATTGATGCTGATGGGAATATCATGCGACCTGATCTTACCCTACAGGTTCAATGGTTATCGCAAATAACAAGTGGCAGCAACAGTTCTTCTGCAGCGTCTGGTATCAGGCAGCCTTCAAGCCTCCATAGATCCACTTCTTGTTCGTTCGCACAACTCTCACTGCGTGGGGAATATTGATGGTGTTTATTGTCCACATTGAGGCTGTTCTAATATTCAAATCTCCAAAATGTCGATCGCTGCTACCAGTCTGCGGTGCTGTTCACTGTACCCTATCTTCATCTGGATCTTGACGGCAGTTTCTACCACGCCGCCCCCAACCAATCCAGAACTCTGGGAGAAGGGCCCAATGGAAGACATAGCTTTTACGCACTTGCAGAGTCTTTTGCCAGAGGGTCTCTCAACAGATCCAGTCGAAAGCGTTATCACAGCTCATTCCCGGCAGCCATGGCCAACGCCAGATTCGTGCTATTCCGGGTTGAGTGGACCAGAGCCCGCCGGGTCTCCGCCGTCTCGGACCTTACCTTCTTATCCCATTACAACACCGACGGTGTTGCAAGAGGTACCACTAGAAGCACAATCAGGCCGGAGGAAACGTAAATACAATCAAGTTCAAATCTCTCCTGCCCAGTCAGCTTCGTACCCTTCACCTGCATCGGATGGGGAATGGCCTCCGACTCCCGGTTAGCAAACTTCAGTGTCCATCAGTCAGATTTCCTCCAGCAACAAGTAAATAGATAAAAACCCCACTAATCAAAAGTATTTTCACTTTGTCACCTCAATCCGAGTTGTATAGCCCGAAAAAAAACTAACCTGGGCCTTGAAGTACCAATCGCATCTCCAAACATAGAAACCGGTCAAACCGGTCCTCATCAAGGTCAGTCATCCTGGATGCAATCATCAGCCTGTCGAGCTGAAAGTCACTCAGAGATTGATCGAACATGTCTTTCAGTAGCTGAGCTGCCTGGAATAAAACCATCCTCAGAACGCCGGAAGTATGGGGTTGAGTCAAACAATGTCGACCATCTCAGCATTCTTCATTTTTCACCAAAGGGTTTGATTTACTTAGCTTTCCTTAAAGATGCCTACGAAAGATTTAAAGTAAAGTTGGCCTCATCTGAACACTCTGTTACCAATCTGCGTATCAAATGTCGCCCTCCAGGGGTGCTGCTCACCGTGTATCAGTCGCCCAAGGAATTGGATCCAAAGAAAGTAATAAGAGTTATGCGTTCTCTTACAGGCAAGAATCAATCTATTCCAAGTTGGATTTCGCTCTACAAATCTTTGATAGGATGGATGTATGAACACCATGAAGAAATTTTGAACCGCTCAAACCTACCGACGTATGTATACAGGTCACAGCAAGAAAAACTTGTCAGTTGGCTAGAAGAACAGATCTTTGCCCCCAGCTCAAGTCTTCCGATCATGGGGAGAATCAACGTTCCAGGTGATTTCCGTTGGGAAGACCATACATTAGGTGCTATTCAAGCAGAATTGATAAAGTATTTCAGCCAAGAATCAGACAACAATCTGCTCGCGCGTCCGACTTCCTTGTCCTTGGTCGAAAAGTTCTATGCTCAGCATCAGGGTGAGTCTCATTTTGCCATTGTCCAGCTAGATCGGTCAGATTGCCCAATGGGAGACAATGAATTGAGCTCAAAACTCCTCATCAGATGATTATATAGCCTCAAATTACCCTTCGGAAATTTCAATCCATCGAATATCCGAAGGCCCAGAGTTTCAAATACTGAGATCATTTCTAGTAGACTCAATTCACCAGCAAAGATTCGCACTAGCTGAACAACTTAGGACCAACACCAATGACCCTTTCTTATTGTCGACCTTCAAATTCGTCAAGGTTCACCTTGAAGAAAATTCCATATCATTTTTTCAACTCAAGAGCCTTCATCCGAAATTGCCGACGGCAATGTATTTCGCTGATATCAACTCCAACCGTCAACTTTTCCGAGTGTTGTACCGCGAAGATAGAGCGGTGGTGAGAAGCGAAGACTTGTTATCCATGTTTAGGATGCTCAGCAAGGCGATGGATTTCTTTCATCGCAAGGTGCTCGAGCTGTTGGAAACAAATTTATCCGAGTTCGAAACAAGAAAAGACGATTTATTTGAATGGCTGGTTCAAAGTATCATCGAGCCAGTAGGCAGTCTTTGCGTCTTTGGTAAAGCCAAAATCAACGGGAACCTTGCCCCTTGGGAGGACATCAACAACGGGGCTCTTAATTTATATGGAGAAGTTCAACTGGAATTGATCGAATACTTTTCTGATAAATATCCAAGTCCCAATTTAGAATATTCGGCAACAGTTCTGATCTTGTTATGGTACAAATACTATCATCCTGATGACTTTGAATACCTGACTCATATTGCAGAGAATTCTGATTGATCATTAGCTGCAGATCTAGGAATCAAGAGCCAAAAAAGGCTGGATACTTGAAGTAACAACCATTTCTAAGTTCTAAGAAACGTGTTGGAATATTCACCACTCAATCCAACTCTTTATTTTCTTCCAAAATCAAAACTTCTGTCCCAATTCTATTTAAATATACTAGATTAGCTTTGAATGAAACTGCCATCAGGCTCAGCTCTGACACCAATGTTACTGTGCATAAAATCTGGCCTCTGCCTAAGTCTCACTGCTTAGGATAATTAGTCTACCTCTGCTTAATATCAGTGGTAGGAACAATGACCCAATGACATCATTCATGTATTTCAGTATATAAGTACATCCATGCTATTACTAACAATCCAGATTCCTCATTTTTGTCAATAAAAGCATGCATAGTCGTTACAACAGTGACTGTCCAAGCTAAAAAAAACAATGAAACACTTGTGGGCAGGGGGGGGGGGTATTATAAAACCTCTCAGCCTGGGATGTCTGGGCTCATTATAACCTGTTGCAGGGAACACAGGCTGTGGGAATGAGGGTTCACAGACTTTGTGAGTATGGATCACAAGATTTGACAAAATTCATAAAACGTTTTTATTTATAAATGTGCCAAAATTGGCCGCACACTTCAGACACAAACCGGCCTCTTAGTAGAAGCATCTCAACAACAATGAGTCAATGACTGAAGATATGATCAAAGTGCCCTTATAATAAACCAGAAGACCAGAACTGATTTCAGTATTTACAGTCATCCTGGCCACACAGGTTCAAGTAGACTAGAGACAAAGCACCCAGTTTTTAAGTAGTTGCAATAACTTGAGCAGCATTCAAAATACTAGAAACATGAATGATGAAAATCCCATATTGATTTTTTTCCTGGAAGCCTCCTTTGAACTGGGTTCTCAGAATTCCCACCCCCAGGGCCAAGATACATGAGGACAAAATCTTCTTCAGCTGGATTGATTCTTTCATCAGGTGCTATGTATCATGCGTATCTTGTAATTAGGTTCTGGACTACAACTCTAATCAATTACAGAAATCCACACACCTAACATACTATTTCCTGTTGGAATACCTAAATAGGTCATAAGTCTGAACTAGTTGGTGCAGTCAATACACAAGATAAATCCCAACCCTATTTTTTTGGTTTGTTTCTGATGCAAAACAAACAAAGATTGGAAATTGAAGTTTTAAAATATGAAGACTGTTGCTTGTACCTATGAATTGACTGGATTGATTTTGTTAGTTTTGGACTGATGGGAAGAGGAGATACATGATGTAGTGCCATATTATAGAGATACAATATGAAGGGGGAAAAAAGAAATGTGAATCACCATAAAGAGGCGCCAAAAAAAACAGGGAAATGACTAAAGCTAGACTGAAACGGCTCGACTACACACGTGAAGTCTATAAAGAAGCAATAATTGGAAACGATTAAGAGAGAGGGAAGCGGATGGCAGATATTAATCGATGGGGCCGTGTACAATGTGAGATGAACTTGGGTAAGATGGTGGGACAGATCGAAGCTGAGAATGAGAAGAGCCAACAGATTCAAACCCGAAAAAAAAAACATCTTTTGCAGATCACTCATTATCGTCAAGAGTAGAAACGAGGAAGATGGAAGGATGTAAGATGAATGCAAACTATGTATCATAAGAGCAGGGGGGGCGCCTGATCACAGAAAAAAATAAGTAGAAGATTAAAAGTTAACGAAGAGATATGCAATAGTGATGATAGGCTGATAGTTTGAAACAAAAAAGGAGAAAGTTAACGATTAGCCTCGATTAACAGGCCGAGGACGACGAGAGCGATCGTAGTAGGAGGGGTGATGAGTGCATAAGAGAGAAAGAGAGTTTTGGAGACGAGTTTCTCGAATTTGGAGTTTTGGAGGGCTTGAATTTGGAATGACTTGGAGCCGATAGGGAACGGATTAGCGCTAGTCATTTGAGCAAGAGTGATAGCGGGAGGGGCGCCGATGAGCAAGACGGTGACGAGGATGAAGCAGGGGTCTTCGTGAAATTGCGAGGATCCGTTGGGATCATCGTCGGTCTGACCATTGCGAGCCTTGTGGAAGTATCGGAGGATCATCAAGAGTAGCGGGAGCAGGATCAGGGGAGTGATGATCATGCGGGACAGGATTGAGCCCAGAATTGTCAGCCGTTCGACCCGTCTCTTCTTGTGTAGCCGTGCTTGAATCTTCAGCTCAGCTGGTGTCAGGGATTGCGTTCCGACCTCAGTTGTAGAGCTGTCAGTTTTGGATTTGTTTGGATCGCTGGTGTTGAAGTAAGCGCCTGGAGGGAAAATAAGTAACAGATGTTAATTTGGTCGATGGTTTTGGGTGAGATGAAGCTGAAGGATTACTTACCCAAAACAACTAGTGTCAGAGGAACAGACACATCTCCAGCACTTTTCAATGCACTGGATGGATAGGAAGGGATGGGATAGGTTAATTAAGTGATTCAATTGTCTAGAGATTTCCATTTGAAAAAGTCAGCCAAAAGACCAACCTTCGCAATGGATGAATGTCCTCCAAATACTCTTGTAGGCTTGGTAAAGACACCACAATCAGCGATAAGAAAGCGGCATATCTACATAAAGCGGTCAAGGAATTAAGGATGATCAGGTTCAAGCTCAAAGATGATGTGAGATAGAAGAAGGTGCTAAGATTAAAGAAATAAATTCTTGTAAAAAAAAGCGCTCACAGGGGTGGAGTCATAAACTGATTGATCATCAATATTGGTCGAACGATTAACCATTTGAACAGCTTTCTGATTTTTTTGAGCCAATGACGAGGCTTGTGGCCATGGTGGGACAGCCGTCTTGGCCGGTGTACGTCGGAGGTAGGTGACTCTGGAGCTGACTCGACGGATTCGTTGTAGCTTGTACAAGAGGTTGCAATACTATTCCTTTTGGAAGATAGTGATTGCAGCCAATACTCTCTGACGTTAGGGAAGCTGTGAAAGATTGGACGTTGAAGATGCGCTTGGAGATGATCATCTGACTGCTCGATTACTGGCGATGGTTGGGGTTGAGAGGAGTCGTCAGTTGCGTCTGAGTTAAGGCGATAGCGACGATTTTGAGGCGGAGGAATATTGGTGGACGCAACGATCTCGGTTGGGGAGACCAGCTGTTCTGAAGAGGAATGTTTGCGAGACTGTCGATCGGTATCAAGACTTGATTTGGGAGTTGCCCCATCGATTGAAGTCAAAAAAGGGACGACCTCCTCCTGGGATAGACTGCCGTCTTCCAGCTCGTCTTCATGGGTTGACTGGTGGTCGTCCTCAGCTCCGACGGAGGCTGATAAGAGTTTGACGCCATACGACCATCGGAAGATCAAGCCCATAGTTGAGAATACGACCAGATACGTTAATGAGCGACCCAATTGCTAAAGTGATCAAGAAAAGAAAGGTAAAATAGGAAGATGTGTAAGCAGCTATACAAAGTTGGATGATAGATGATAGAGATGAGAGAATCAACCTTATCCTTTGAATCATCTGCGCCCCACTTGAGGCCGTCATGGCGGTTGATGGTGGTGATTAAGCTGGTCATCAAGGCTATTGGTAAGGAGTTTGAGTTCATGAACATCGAGAAACTCAAGCAAAAGTTGCGTTCGGGTCTTTCTAGTCTAAACAGCTTGGACAGAAGCCAGGCGACGAGACCAGAGGTGAGGGTGATGATCACGAAGCTTATGGGGACCACGTAGAGATCGGCTAGTTTCTCTGACGTCAGACTGAATGCAACCTTACTGAACATCAAGGCGGGGGTGAAGAAGGAACTGAGGTGATCGCGTTGTTTGGTCGGTTTGTTTGTTTATGAACGTGTAAAACATGATTTCAGAGATCTCGATAGATGCAAATATAATCAAATTTGCATTGGGATGATTCTGATTTGGTTTGTACTTACACATTGATCTTATTTAACGTGTTCTTTGATTTTGAGTCAATGATTCCCTTTCGACTGAGGACATAACCTGCGAGCTGAGGATCCGGGTGAGCGAGAGGAGGTGGATAGAAATTAATACTCATACATAAAAGATGCGCTTCCATTGAAAGAGAGAACGTACACATAATAAGAAGACCTGAAGATAGCGAGTCAGAAAGTTAGTAAAATCTCAGCGGCGTCTGTTCTGGATGATTCAGGGGGAGTGGAAGGATGAATGACCTCTAGGATACTGGCGGTGACTGTCCTGGATTATAAGAGAGAGGATGGTTCAAGTCAGTGTCGAGAGTGCTGTTTGATTTGTTGATGAGCTGAGTCTGACTTACTTGATGATCCCAATCGGATCGAATGAGGCGCCTCCGCCCGAGATCCGAAGCGATGGTCCTCCTTGGTTCATCGTTTTGTTTTGTTGGTTTTGTTTTTGTTTGGTTTGTTGACTCTCTTGAGTTTGTGGGAGGAAGAAGAGTTGGATGAGATCGAAGACCGTTTAAGTTTGCCAAGAAATCGGGTGGGAGGCCCGATGTATGCACTTACGTAAGCCAACACAATCGATTGGGGAAGCGCTCCGAGCGGAATCACCCTATACCCTGTTCATCTTGCGCCACACTCAATTATTGATGGCCCTGACAGCGGACAGAAGGAATTATTCGCCTTTTTTTAACATTCTGACTGGTTTTCCTAACCACAAAAAAGGAGATTATATTTACATCATGTTCATGAAATGAAGGATTTCTGTTGGAGAGTCTGGTAGCCTCTTTCCTTCGAAGTGGTATGCATCTCAGTTTATGCATAGACCCAGCCTGCGCGGCTGCGGCGGGGGCGAGGATGCCAAGCCAGGCCGGCAGCCCGGGACCAGCTGGCAGCAGCAAGACTGGAAAACTACGACACCACTGAACAGGAAGAGGATGGCCAACACACTCGATCAGAAGGACTGTCTGACAAAAAAACAGGACGAACTCATATCAGAAAACGCACCCGATGGAGAGAAGAGAAAACTGGTCGAAGAATCCGATCAGGAACCCTCGTCGAAGAAGTCTCGATCAACTGGCGATCCGGGCCAGAGAGAAGGTCAGCTTAATGTTCGACTATGTATCTACAGACTGGTAAGAATCGGATGGGAACTGATTGAAATTTTATGGTTTTCGAAAATTTTCAGAACCAGCTCTCGTAGCCAACGGAGCTCCTGGGCCAGAACCTGAATTGACAACCCCACCAAAGTCAGACTCGGAAGAAAAGAAGAAGTCGCTCGACTCAGGGCCACAGGAGGCTAGCTCGGGAGAAAGCCTACTGGATTCAGTCGATATGACTCAAACCTGTCTTTCCGAGCAGCAAGTCGGGATCTGCAAGTACATCAACCCTAACTTACCCACCTTTTCGGCCATCCTCAAACACCGATTTACCGACTTCATGGTCCATGAAGTCAATACATCTGATCAAGTCATACATCTGAAAGATATCGGCGATCCCTCCAAGGAACCCACCCGTGATCCTGCCCCAGAACTACCCAAACTGAAACCTCAGAGCCTCAACGTACATCACTGCTTTTCACATAACACATTTTTTTTTTCAACACGCCCACCCAGCAAATTGATAAACTTTTTTTTTTTTGACTGATTTGCACAGGAATGGCCAGAAACCGCGCAGGAAAAATTGACCGATATTTTGGGTCAAGAGAAACTAGCGGCACTCAAAAAGTTTGTGGAACACGGGCCTCCCCAAAAAGCACGGAATAACGGCAAGAGTAAACCAGCTCAACCAACCTCCGCGCCAAACACCACACCCAGTACTACTGTCGATACCCCGGAAAGCAAAAAAACAGACAACCAAGACCCTAACAAAGCAGAAAACTCCAATGAAGATACATTGAGTCAAAGCAGTATCCCTACGAGCATCGTATCTGATGTCAGTATCTTCGATGCTATTAATCTCCCTCATCTCCGACCCTACTTATCTCCGGATCGCCCATTCCCAGGTCGTCCCCTCCCCCACCCTCGTTTTACACTCAAATCAATCTTTTCTGACCTGATTATCATGTAGCCAATCGACTCAAAAGACAAACGCAAACAATTTCATCAAGCTATCAGGGAAGTTTTCCAGGGTAGACTGATCACCGAACACAAAGAGCTAGACGGAGAGACTTCTGCTATCGAAATCAGTTGGGCTCGACCCGGAAAAAATAGCGAAAGGCGACGTGAGCATTTTTTTTTTCCTTTTCCTTAGACGTAGGCAGCTGTCATTTCATTAAGTTCGAAAGCTTTGGTTTTGTCATCCCACAATCTAGCCAAACCGGTCGATCACAATCCACCCTACGTCCACTTCACCCTCCAAAAGACAAACCGCGAGACACAAGATGCGCTTTCTATCATTTCGCGCAATCTTCATTGCCACGTATCCAGGGACTTGGCGATTTCAGGCACCAAGGATAAACGATCAGTCAGCTGCCAGAGGGTCAGTCTGAAGCGGGGCAAGCGGACCGTTGGAGACGTCTGGGAAACGCTGAACAATATCAGAAGAAATCAAAAGTTTGGTAAACCGATCACGTTCACTCAAAGAGGCGACAAGGGCATTCGGGTTGGAGATTTCACCTACGAGAGTGCGCCTTTGAAACTTGGAGAATTGAATGGTAATCGATTCACTGTTGTCCTTCGGTCAGTATTCTCATTCATCGGGCTCTAGATAAATCGTTTGTGAACCAGTCCGTACCCTCCTTCTTCCTTCCCAGGGACGTGAATCCTACTCAGCCCGAAATATTAAAAGAGGCAGTTAAAACGCTCTCGACGCACGGATTCTTGAACTATTTCGGCATGCAACGATTTGGCACAACCTCTGTTGGCACTCATATCGTTGGACTAAGCCTTCTTCAGGCTAATTGGGACCTGGCCATCGATCTGATCATGCGCAAGAAGTTGGGCGAAACCCAAGACTCTGAACTGGCACGGTCGTTGTGGGAAGACAAGAAGGATGCCAAGGGTGCCCTGGATCTTATGCCAAGAAGATGTGTTGCTGAGAGGTGTAGTTAAGTCGATCCTCCTTGGCGATAACAAAAATCGAAATCAAACGCTTACTTTTCATCCAAATCGTAGTCCTCCAGTTTTTTTCCAAGCAAGCAGTAAAAACGGACAAATGTGGCGCATTAGCCAGTGTGAATAATTGCAATATTGGGTCATCTTATCATTGCACGTGGAACTAACATTCTTTGTAAAACAAACAACAGATTCCTAAAAACCTCAAGATGATGTACATCCACGCCTATCAATCCTACATCTGGAACACCATTCTATCCCGTCGTGTTGAGCTGTATGGTTGTGACAAACCTGTCATTGGTGATTTGGTCCTGTTAGACAGCGGTAAAACTCATGAACTGATCGAAGACGAAGAGGCATTTGAGACCATCGTTGATGCTCAGACCAAGCCCAAGTCCAACAATACTCCCTCCGTCAAAGTGCTCAAAACGGTGGAGGACTGTGAAACATTTACGATTTATGACGTCGTCTTGCCCTTGGTTGGCTACAATATCGTCTACCCCGAGAATGAACTGGGTGATCAATACTTGAAGATCATCAGACAAGACGGTTTGGATCCCGATAAACTATATAGAAGTCAGGCGTAAGTGTCTCTCAAATCTGTAAACTGTTTCATTCCTGATCGGTTCAGATTGGTAGAGTTTTCTAACAAGGTTTGATTAATAACAGTGAATACTCGATGGTAAGAATCATTTTTTACGATCAACATGGACTTATGCGAAGCAAGGAAAGCTGACGTCCGACACAATCATAGGGAGGAACTTACCGCAAGATCTTGCATCTACCGCGAGATGTCCAGAGTCAAGTGTACGAATACGAAGACCCAGATCTACCACTGACCCAAGCGGATGAAGACAGTCTGCTGGGATTCGAGCTTCCTAATCTCAAAGAATGGACAGCCGAATCGGCCGAACAGAAGAAAAACTTGGCCCTCAAAGTTGAGTTTACCTTGGGCAGCTCTGCATACGCTACTATGGCTCTCCGGGAAATCTTGAAGAGTGACACTGGCAAAGAGGCGCAATCTAGAATGACCCAGCGGCTAAGGGAGCGCATGGTCCATACTTGTCCGGAATCTGATCCCACCACCCTCCAACCAGAACCTGAAACTACTTCATAATCAGCCACTCTGTTTTCTTATTCTTCCGGTTGATCTAGATTATTTCTATCTTCATCATTCATTGCTAAGAATATGCTTGCGGATGCCGCTGAATGTCTCTATCGTATTGTGAGATGTCCTGAAAAACATCGATGACTTTCTCGAGCCAAAAAACACAAACATTGTTCTTCTTGACTAACGCTAATAGTGTGAATCTATCAGCTACGCAATCAAACATGGCTTACGATCCGGAAATGAGGCTAGATAGGTACAATGAACTCTCATTCCCTAAGCACGCGTGGAGATGTACATACTCTCCTAGCCGATGCTTTTTTATCACCCGTCGGAATGTTTATTATTTAACTCATGAATGTGCTCATCAACAAGTCCTCCGGGTATTGTAGTCTGGAGTTACACTGGCAGCGAGTCCTCCGAACACCGAAGTCTGAAGTTGCAATGTCAGCGCGTCGGGAGTATCTTCATCTTCCTCTGATTTATCCGGTAGGGGAACGGCAAACTGCTCGCGTTTATCACTTTTAAAGAGCGCCCACAGGCTTTGCGTGTTGATATGCCATATTAAAAAACAAATCTATCCGACGGGTCTACTTCTGGTCCTAGTAAATCATTTGCTGTGGTCAGTGTGGGCATGCCCAAGTTAACCGCTGGCAATTGCTCTTGTTGCAGGTTCGCGTCGAAGAAAGAAGGACCGTTACTTCCTTTCGAGATTTGTTTCGCTTGGGCTGAGGCCTATGCACTGCAAGGTAACCACACCATAATGCTTGGCACGTTTGCCAAGCGGGGGATGATTGATCAGATGCCTCTTATTACACATTACTGCACCTTTCAATGATCAAGTACCCTCTTTTCTAGACTTCATCCCCCCCCTTGACCGTTGTGAGACTGTGGGAAGTGCTGGGGAATGATTTGGCTCGCTTGCATTGGTGAGAAACACGCCGCGTTGATCTGCCTGGAATTGAGTGAAGATTGAATAAAAAAGGGAATTACTTGATCGTCCGGCCGGGTTATATTTCCTGTGGAGGACGCGAACCTTCAGATCCACGCATGCAGACTCGTCGCTGACTACTCTGGTAAATTAGAAATATTAGCAGAGGACACGCAGTACTTGATGAAGTTCCAATGAGGCAGGTTGGACATCACTTTGAGCATGAGCATGCTTTGCAGATGGCTGATCGATTGATGCATTGAGCAGTGTTCTGTATCCTAAATAGGGACATAAGATGACCACGGCGGGGCCAAGCCGGAGATCGAATGGGTGGATGCGAATTGTGGCAGAAAGCACACCGTCTGGAGTTCCACGGCGTACATGGGACACATGTGTGATGATGGCCTTCTACAACTGCTGCTTGCCAGGCTTGTGCCAACTGGCCTGGCCGGTCGGGTGTTCAATGGACGCAGATCCGAGTCGATATGGCTATCGTTTCTTTCATCCTCTCTTTCTCCACCCTCATCCTCCCCCCCCCCCCTTGGCCACACACTCCACCTATGTACATGGACTGCCAAATTACCTCGACGCCTGGAGCTGCACACCGAGGACGTTCAACCCGTACTGTGCTTGGCGCATCGCTCTTGGGGTTTTCACTTGAGCTTGAAGGACAGAAAATTATGGGTATAAAAAGCCCCCCCGGCTTCGTTGCTTGTTCCTTCCTTTCACCATCACACTCCCGCCCACAAGTCACTTGAAAAGAAAGAATTCCCCTCCTGGCACCAATATCTTGAATTCTTTTAACAAACTACAATAGGAACCATGTTGTTCATGAAACTCTTGTTGAACTTTTTGGTGGCTGGTAAGTTGTCTCCCTCTCTGGTCCGAATATGGTCCGAATTTGGTCATTTTCCAGTTCTCTTGAGAGTCATTACGGATAGCTTGCTGATAATACATTTTACATAGGTGTTGCTATTGCCAGTGTGGTGCCAGCTGACCGAAACCAAGTGATCACAGACAAGAACGCGAAACGAGACTATGTAGACGAAGATGATTCATCGGTCTTGGTAGAATATTCGAGCAGTGTCACGTTTTCAATCGAGAAACATTACAGCGTGATCATCGAGAGTTGCAACACCGGCAAATATCAACTCGTCATAAGCGCATTGGAGGAGGTCTACTCAAAGCTGCATGAGTTGAATGAGGGGTGCCACAAAGGTTCCTACGGATTCGATGAAGTAGTAAGTTAACTGCTCATGCACTCCGAAAATTTCTAGATACGACAAGCAGAGTACAAACTACAACTGATGGTTATTTTTTTAACTCAACCCAACAACCCAAAAACTTTCTTTTCATAGCTCGAATTCTCCCACGAGTTCGTCAAAGTCTTGCTGAAATTTCAAGCAATCCTCTTGGTCATCAAGAAGCATCCCTTTATTTTTGACAAATGCGGTGGTTGAGTCTACATTTCATCTCTCATCTCCTTATCTTTCCAAAAAAAAAAGAAAGGTACATCTAGTTGAAATGAAACACTGACTGACCTATGATGTTTAATATTAATATATATAAACAGTTACTCTTTTCAAATGCGGCTACCAATTCAGCGAAATCTTCAAGTTCATTCTTAGTTACAAGGTCGATCTAAAATCCTTGACTATTTCCGTTGGCATAGACTACAGCATCTTCGGCGGGATCGGGTTCTCCATCCCTCACATAGGCTGAGGCTCATCCTTAGATAACTTCCGGCCCACTTAGACAATTTGATTTACTTACTTCTTTTTCTTGGCCATTTTGATAGAAAGTCTTGACCATCCTTCTTTAAATCATGTTTAGTGCTCTCCGCGTCCCCAATTCATCTCTGCCTTAGTCTTCCTCTTGACCAGCCTCTGATCTTATTACCTTACCATCACGAGATGATTGTAAAAGTGCCATCGCTTTATACACCTACCCACTCAGGTCGCTCCCAATGGTATTTAATCCAATGTAAACGACACAAGAAATGAAGCTTCATTTTTTTGGCATTTTACTACGCAGATCACCGCAGAATGAGAAGCAGGGAGAAAATGAAAAGCATATCTGGAATACGTTTATATCGAATTCTGTGCTCTTCATAGGGAAGTTTGTTTTGCAACATCTTTGATCATATAGAGTAATGATGAGAGATAACCAGCCTCTTGGTGAGTGTAAACACGTTGACTAATTGATCAAGTGTCATCTCGACGCCCTGAGGCCCGGCACACCATTTGCGAAGATTCTGGTGGACTGGTGGAAAAAAATGTGAAAATGTGGTGACTTTTCCAGTAAAGCAGTCCAACTTGACATGCGAAATATTTGGCATCACAAAATTATTTTATTGAAGCACATTTGTCATTGGGACATGCGATGAAACAAGAGGAATGCAGCGAGAGCAATTGGCTGAGTCCAGCCAGGGATCTATTCAACCCTGTAAGTGTACTTGCCAGTCCTGGAGCTTCACGAATTGCGGTCGACCTACATATTTCGGCCGTTCACTCTCGGGTGTACCAATGTTCCCAAGCCCTCCCAGGGGGAGGTTTCCATGGACCCGGTCATGATGCGGCCAGGAGGTTATTGGAGAAATTTCTCCACCATGGCCACGCAGAATTGGCCTCTGCTTCGGGTCCCATCGACTGCCAAAAATTCATGGTGCAATCATGCACAAAAAGCGAATAGCTACGTAGTAGAGTAGCCAATTGCCGCGTCGTAGTCTCTCCCCACGAGAAACAGCTCCGACAGTAACTCAAGCAAATTCAGAACACGATATAGGCAAGCTGAAGCAGAGATACTGACGACTCTGTTCAAGCAACCAGGCATTGTCTAACCCATATGAACTCAGCTCCGCCACGACTGATGATGGATGAGCTCTTCCATAGTGCTTGCAACAGCGAATGTTTAACTCTCTGCCAAAAGCCATCGAACGTTTTCTCAATTTCTATAAATAGGTCACCCATTCGCCTCAGCTCTGCGACTAGACCTTCAGATTCGTTTTTTGTCCATACTGTTCATACCATTCATCAGAATAATAACCCTGATAACAAAGTAGTATCTTTAGTTTTTCTATATATCTATCCGCAGGCTTCTAAAATATATATCTATATCTTCGAACCTCCATCTAAAGCTTCTTATTTTTCACCATGTCAAGTTTCAACAGCTCGAGTATTGAATTGAAAACCAGTCTCCAAGTTGAGCGACGCGACCGACCTCAAATCCAATCCTCAAGACTTTCGATTTGGGTGTTGATGCAGACTCAATCGTTGTCGCTCTATTTCCTTCTTATCAGTATATTATTGCTATGTCCTCATGGAGCCAGTGCTTCCTTCCGCGGTGACAGGATCATCGCCCAGAGAGCGCCTCTCAATGCCGCAATATACTTGTCAGATACAGATATCAATTCCAGGCCAAGTTCGTCCATGAACGCACCGAATTCCGGCTCAAGCTCCTCCACGAACGTGCCATATTCTAGTCCAAGTTCCTCGACGGCGACGAGCGCACCGAATTCCAATCCAATTTCCTCCACGAACTCATTGAGTTCTAGTCCTTCGACTTCATCAGGATCGAATTCCAGTCCAAGTACCTCCACGAACGCACCGAATTTCAGTCCAAGTTCCTTCGCGACCGCACCGAATTCTAGTCCAAACACACCGAGTTCTGCTCCAAGTTCATACATGAACGGCCCGATTTCAGCTAATCCAAATTCATACGTGAACGGCCCGAATACCAATCCCACTTCAAGCGGTGACTCGGGGCCACAGTGTGGTTTTCACCAGAGCATGTACCAGAACACCACTGATGGCGCCGCGCCGGCGAGCACGACTAGCACCGACCATGGAATCAAGGTTCCGGACTGTTACCAGTGAGCTTAAGCCTTACTATTCTATGATCATAAGCCTTGGTGACATTTATTCAAAAAAAAAAAAAAAAACACGTGCTTATGTTCCCGATTTTCTTCTTTTTTTAGAGCTCTAGGGCATCTCTTGCACGAAAGAAATGGCGCGTCGATGTTCCGAATGAATGGCACCACCAAAAGAAAATCATGTGGAACCTGTCGATTGCTAATTGAAGGGAACTACACCAAGGAACTCCTCGTGTGAGTTTGCAATAGCTTCAAGAAAATTTACCTGGGGGGGAAACAATGCTGACTCAAAATGTTGATAATATCTCAGCCCCCTCGGCACGGTCATGTTCGGAACTAACAAGCAAAGATCGGGTGGTCTAAACGGTCTGTTTATCTCGTGTCACAAGAGGGTAAGTCTGAATCACAATTATATTTTTCAACTCGATCCACTTTCTGTTTTTCTTAAAAGCTTGACTTTTTTTTTTTTTTGAAATCTTGCTTACTTCAACCAGGGGGGCCAAGTAACCTTACAAGCCGGAGGAAAGTTAAAAACTCCCATCCGAATTGATGTTTCCAAGGCATCGACCAACCGCAATTGTTCCCAAATCGCATCTTAGGGTAATGCCGATTACTCTGATAAACAGGATCATAATTCACAACAAACGCAGCATGGGATATCGCGGAAAATTAAAATTATTTTATAGCCATGTGATCCGATCAATTGTCAAACCATTCAAGACGTCCAAGCAAGTAAGACGAATTCATTGTATAACTTTCCAAATTGATGTAAATTTTTTTTATTCTTTATTATTTGTTGTTAAGATTTTATGTGTTTAGTACTTCTATGTCTATATTTGCTGGTCAAACAAAAAAACAAAATGACAAATCCCATATCATTGATAAAAATAAATTTCACAGAATATTTTACGTGTTGCATTATTCTTTGTTGAAATTTGAGCTCTGGATGGTATCACTATCAGAGAGAAGGAAAATGGCAGCAAACTTTTTTTATTTTTACTGGAACGGACTGGTAGCGCAAAATGAAGGAGGAGAACTAACGAGGCTTGGTTTCATTGTGCTGGGCTAGACTTGAAATAGCCTATGTAAAAATGATTAAGTTTCGGTTTTAAAATGAAAATGAATATAGAATAGAAAGAGAAATAAATAACTATTCAAGAACAATTAAGAAGGTACATACTACAACACTAGACACCAAAAATGAAGCTTCTACATCCAAGAAGATAAACAGACATGTATGAGAGACAATAAGCCGTCCTTAGTCAGGGTTCTAAGACTACAAGCTAGGGGGTCAAATTTTATAACAACATGACATGACAGACTATAGTGAAGTTGAAATCAGGTGAATGATAAGGTAATGAAGAGTTTGAGAGCCAGAAGCAAGAAGGAAATGTTGAAGTTACCTCAGTATAAGCATACACCTCAGTATAAGCATACTCGGCATCCGGTTGTGTAGTGATATTCAAAGTTGTAACCTAACTGAAACCTAATTGAGATTGTATTTAAGTAGTAACACTGGATGACTTCCCGTCGCGGTTTACAACCCTCCCAGAATTTGATTTACACCCCCAAGATCTTAATTTTTGATAAAAAACAGTATTTTTTCATAAGCCTTGGGAAGATAGCTCTCATGTGAGCTGGGTGGAATTATGATTGAGGTGTAAATTTAGGACTGGGGAGTGCTTAAAAAGCACTCTAAATGGCGACGGGAAGTCCTCCACTGTTGTACCGTTTCTACTTTTTCTCTTTTTCTCATTCAGTTTCTTTTGCTGTTTCAACTCTCATCGCACAACCAGGTGTGCTCGACTCGTCTCTTCTCATCCCAACTCTCGTGTAGTGTCTAACACATCGTCGGTCTTTCAAAAGGTTCTTGTCTGGTTTCACTTCATTTCTTATTTCATTCTCATTCTATCATGATCTCGAAATTCATTCAGTTTCTTTTGCTGTTTCAACTCTCATCGCACAACCAGGTGTGCTCGACTCGTCTCTTCTCATCCCAACTCTCGTGTAGTGTCTAACACATCGTCGGTCTTTCAAAAGGTGTGCTCGACTCGTCTCTTCTCATCCCAACTCTCGTGTAGTGTCTAACACATCGTCGGTCTTTCAAAAGACTCGCTGCGCCTATCATTTCTATAGGAAAGAGGATAAATGACAAGAAAATAGGGCCAAAATTCCAACATCCTTTGTGGGCCATTGAGAAATTTCAACCATGCTGCCCATTTCCCACTTGATTATTACAATTGTCTCTTGAATTTGAAGCCATGATAATTTACCCTGGATTGACCCCAATCCTGGGGCTTAATTGTTCAGCTTATGATCTTGGCTATGCAAGATTCTTATCCTTTTACATTTTCTTGAATTTGAAGCCATGATAATTTACCCTGGATTGACCCCAATCCTGGGGCTTAATTGTTCAGCTTATGATCTTGGCTATGCAAGATTCTTATCCTTTTACATTTGGACACCAAAGTCACTTTGCCCCGGCAAATTTGGAAACCTCAGGGTCTTGGGTTGTTATGTTGTTTTGTAATTTCCTACTGAGCTGATCAAATAAAGAGTTGAGTACCTGACAGAATATCTGCTTGATTGTATACCGTTAGGCGGTTCATACGCCGGCTTCAGGTAAGCTGGCAGAAGAGGAGGTGTGCTAGCTTTAGTGTTTTCACTCTTCATCTGATGCTGATTCAGCTTCGCTCATGGCGGATTTGCTTCCCGTTTCAAGTTTCACCCGTGTCACAATCTTAATGAATGCTGGCATCTAAAACCCAACGAGTTCGGAATGGCAGTCTGTGTTCAATTAACAAGATACCGCGGATTAACAATCCCCTCTGATTGAATTGGATCGTTCAGCCCAAAACTTGAAGATTGACTCGACTGAAAGATGGCATTGCAAGGGCCGAGTCGATGCCCACACGAAAGGGTCAGACGAGCTGGTCTCGGTGAGGCAGGGTTCAAAGGCAAAAGCTTCACAATCTTTCCGTGTCAGCGGAGTGTGGAAGCGGACGCAGTCGGTCTGACCACTCCTCGGACCTGCAGCTGCGGGTCACCCTTATTTCAGCTCATTGCTGGTTACTCTCAATTTTGTCGTTCGCATGTATGTTGTTCCATATATATCCCCTCGACTGAGCTCACCTGGGTAATGGTATTAGGATTGCCACCCGGGTTTGCCTCCGGCGAGGCCTAATCATTAGCCATAAGGGTCCAGATTCCCAAGTCAATCCACGCGATGGAACCCCAACCCAACGTGTGGAAGTCATCCAGCAACAACATAAGCATCAGCAAATAGTCGGAGGAATGGCTGAGTACTGGCGACTGGGTGCTACTGTTGACGCAACCAAAAATATTATCAACTCAGCTTGCCACGAGTGACACGCCGGTAGAGAGGATGACGCATAGTGATCACAGAAAAAATGTCTATCTTTTCAAAAAACAACTTGAGTCTCGGGACCAAGTCACCCCCGTATAAGTAGTTCACGAAACATCTCCCCAAATGCACCATAATACCCAATTCTTCATCTTGTCCATACAAACTGTTCATATATCAATTATCAAGAGAGCGCAGATTAGAACATCACACCGAAATTCGCTTGACTCTTTAGTTTTGTTTCAAGGTTCTTATAACCAATCGTTGTTATCATTTCCACATACTTGAGATTCTATATACGAGTCGCCTGAGTTCAACTTCCAGAAATCATCCAAGATGCCCATTTCTATTATCAAGCAGGGCCGAGTCTTATCAGTTTCCCTCCTGCTTATCAGCGTCTTGGTGGTTTTCCCTTGGGGGTCTATTGCTCCTAACCCGCATCCCGGAGGCCTATTCCAACGCAGTTTTCTGGAAGAACCCAAGCCGGCCAAACTTCCGGCGAAAGTGGACCCCCCTTCGATTGCGTCCCGACAGGCGCCGTTTGATCCGACGAAGAAGTTGACAAAGAGTATAGGAAAACCAGCCGGTTCTAACTCCACCTCCAATGTTTTTAGCCCAATCAGTATCACCAACCAATTTGGCGGTAATGGTCCGCCCAATAATGGTAACAATCCATTTAGTCCTAACAACAACAGTCCTGACAGCAAGAATTCATTCAATGGCAACAACCCATCGAACAGCTTCAGCAATCCATTGACTGCAAACAACCCAGCGAATGGCCTCAACAATCCATTGACTGCAAACAACCCATTGAGTGGCATCAACAATCCATTAAATAGCAAGAATAACCAACTTAACACCAACAATCCAGCCAATTCGGCAAGTACTGCCTCCGGCCCTCAGTGCGGCTTCCACCAAAGCATGTCGCCAGTCAATAACACTGTCAAAAAGACTGACCAGAATGGGATCAAGCCTGAAGACTGTTACGAGTAAGCATCCCCGGTGTTCTGCGCACTCACGGAAACCAAAGTGGATATTTCCGTAGAATATAGATACTGATGATTACGTGTGTCTGATTTGCTTCTGGTTCTCTCTCTCTCTCTCTCTCTCTCTCTCTCTCAGCGCGCTCGCCCAGATTCTAGAGGATAGGAACGGCAGGACGATGGTCCGAGTCAACGCGACTGAAAAACGACAAGTCTGTGGGACGTGTCGGCTGAAGTTCGAGACGAATGTTACCGGGAAGGAGCTTCAGGCGTGAGTGATCTGAGAAGAAGAAGATCGTTGATAAAATTTTTGACATCTCAAGAGGTGTTGAGAATAAGCATTTTGTTTGCTCTAACAGCTCGCTCGAGGTTGTCATGTTCGGAACGGGCAAGCAACGGAACGGAGGGATGAACGTGCTCTTGAGCTCGTGTGGACAACGAGTGAGTTAAACCTGCCTGAATCCCCCCTTTTGCGGTTAATTGCGCCCCAGCTGTCTTGAAAAGAGAGACTCAAATCGTTCCCTTTTTTTTTGTTTCTTCGTTGTCAAAGGGAGGACAGATCATCATGCCCGCCGGAACTAACCTCAAAAGCCCGTTGAGGATCGACATAGCCAAGTCTCAGGTTGCCCGCATCTGCACCCCGAGGGCCATCGCTAACAGTGACAGCCCTCTACCTTCGATCTCCACCCCTCCTGCTTCTACTGTTAACACTTTCAACACATCAGCTGCCAAGAAATCTGCCCGCTCTTAGCCAACTGAAATCGTCCGAAAGTCAATATCTTTTCATATGTATGATCAGATGTTTTTCTTTTCTTTTCTCACTCTCAACTGAGTTCTATACTAGGCTTGCCTTGAGACAGTCACCTCCTAGCCTGAAGAATAAATAGGATGGACGGATACATCAAAACAAAAGATTAATGTAAATTGACCTCAGCCGTATTATTTGAACTTAGTTTTGTTTTGTTTTGTCTTTTTTGTGTTTAATTCGAAGATGTGTGTTATATTTCAGTTGTGTGTTTGTTTGCAGTTCTAGACGATCTGTGTTATTCCTATTGAAAAAGATGATCCGAAATGCCTGCGAGAGAAGGACGAGTGAGTGATGTCCCTGCTGCGAAGTAAAATGATATAGATCACCCTCACAGAGACTATAATCATAGCCTTCCAGCGTCGTGTTCTTATAAACGCGCGCTTGCTAGTAGTATGTAGTTCGTTTTTTTAAAGGAGTCGCATTGACGAACAATTGACGGTATATATTGTGTTTTTCTTTCTTGACCCTTATAAGAGATTTGTTGGGGTTATTGTTCACCCACTAATTGTACAGTTCAACGCGTGAGAGGACACAGAGAAGACGACGAAGAATAACACCCTGCAGCCGAAACAGAACGCTAGTCAAGTGTTTCCGGATGACGAACGAAGTCGAGAGGCGCGACAACTTACATGTAGGCCTCCCGGGGGGGACCCATCCAGCGATTTGTTTTTTCCCCCCAAAATTCGGCTTGATCAAGAGATCTATAAGCTCGGTGATTGGAAAAAAAAGGCATGCGATAGGCATGAAGGGTGGCCAAGGCTCCCGACAAAAAATAGATGGCCCGATGGGGATAGGGGAGACGTGACCTTTCGAAGATGTGTGTAACTGGATCGTCGAGAAGAGAGATCAGGGATATACATACACGATGGAGAACGATTCAAGGAGGAGGAGGAGGATGGTTGAGATGGAGGTGGCAGGGGATCGAGCGGTAGCCCCTCTTTACCTGCATCTCTTTCCATCACTCACAAGCTTGCCAGTTGCTGAGCTCGACCCAGCGGACTTGATTTCGGGAAGCGGGGGGTGGCTCATCGACATGAGATTGTGTCGTGTGATATGCGAACAAATCTGTGCTGTTTTCTTTGTCTCGGGAAATAAGATCATATCTGTACTCTATAACTGGTTTCGCTCACTGGTTCCTTCTCTTGTTTCGTCTCATGATTGGATCGCCGCTCTTTTGTGGTGCGGGTCTTTTGAAAGGTAAAGTGATTACTATGATTAATGTAGATTTCTTTCTTTCTTTTTCTTTCTTTTTTTTTTCTTTCGTTCTTCTAAGATTTTTCATCAACAACATCTGCTGGATTCACACCACTTTTTTTCTGAGGGTTTGGAAAAAAAAGCGAGGTGTGTAGATGATAATATCCAAGACTTTCAAAGACCAACAACAAAAAAAAATATGAAATGAAATGAAAGAACAGAGCACAAATCATTTTTTTGCTTCGTTACTTGTTTTTTTCTTTGATGAGTCTTGTTGAAAAAGGAAGAACATCAAGATGAGTAGATGGAGATGAGTAGATGAGTAGATGAAGATGAGGGGGGAGGATGAAGAGGGTCCGAGGGGAAATAGTTAAGCCGGTCATTACTGAGCATTGTTTTTTTTTGAGTTTGATTTTTGGTTTGAATATTGAATAAATCTTAATTTTCTCTGAGGGGAAGGGGGGGAGGGGTCGTATAGATTTGGATGAGACAACACAAAATGGATCACGAAGCCAAAGCGACGAAAGAATAAAGACAATGAGAAAGACAAAAGAGAGAGAGAGAGAGGCTGGTAGGGAGAAGGTTGACAATGAGATAGGAGTGGGACGGAGGAGATGTGAAAGGGCGGCCAATCAGAGGAAGAGCGAGAATGCGCAGGAGGAGATGGCGGTGAAGAGGAGAGCAGATGAGGAGGAGATAGCGCTGGCGTCACCGGCTTGGGAGGAGGCCTGTGAAAGAGACAAGGGGGTCAGCACGAGTCGGAATGATCTGAGAGTGCAGAGTGTGAGGGGACATACGTTAGCAGCGGCGGATCCGACGGCACCGGAGAAGCGGCTCGGGGCGCCAGTGGTGGTACCAGTGGCGTTAGCAGTCGATCAAGCGTAAGGGCGCCGTTGAGTGGGCCAGATGTGTTGGGGGT